AAACACCCTGTCAAAATATGCAAGCAACTGAATTGCATCTTGTCTTCCATGTGCCGGTTTTATTTATTTATTTTTTTTAACCTACTGTTGAAAAGCCAAACCACTTAACTCTGAACGGAAGAAATAATAGGGGAAAATAAAACAATTTCCCTCAAAAGCCAATAAATATTACTTTCAAAATCCAAATTTCAAAATCTGCCGGTGTCCCACCAAAGCAAGTGGAAGCAGGTGTTCACACTTGTCCCGGTCAAATTCCAGTCAAAATAATTTTCTTCTGCCTGCAGTTATGGAAGGAAAACACATACTAATCGCATTCTGGGTGAGGGTAATTTATACCCCTGCGCAACGACTGCTCTTCCTGTAGGCAACAACTGTGGATTTTCTCCCATGATCCTTAAACTATATTCACAAGTTGGCTTCAAAAAAACATAATAATAATTGTCCCAGCACAGAGAAAGACAATGCAGCTGTATGGATGCTGCTAACTTGAGCTGCTGAGGACAGCACATTCTAAATATTTGAGCCAATATGGGGGACCGGATGTAAGTGGGATCTGTTACATGGTTTCCGGGCATAATTAAATTAGTCAAGACACGGAAGTCCTTGCTTTTCAATCACTTTAAAAGCTTATCGTGGACACTAATGGACCATTTCTTCCACCTGCAAGGCAAGCAACACTCTCTTGAAGATGCTTGCTTAAGGAGGCTGGTTACCAACCAAATTGCTATAACTAGAGTTGCAGAAGCTGCTAGTTCACTGCATCTGTTAGTGCAGGGGTCTGCAACCTTAAATACTCAAAAGAGCCATTTGGACCCGTTTCCCACAGAAAAGAAAACACCGGGAGTCACAAAACCTGGGTGGGCGTGGCTAACTCGATGTCGCTCACTTCCACCAGTCACATGACCCTCCCCAAGCCACGCCTACCCAGATGGTCATTAGGGCAGAGAACCAATTGTTAAAAAAAACCAGGAACCACAAAATCCTTTTAACATCTCTCTCTCTCCCCTCCCTCCCTTCCTATCTCCCCACACTCTCCCTCTTTCTCTGTATCTCTCTATGTCTCTCTTTCTTCCCCACTCTCTGTATCTCTCTGTCTCTGCCGTGGCCGCTTCCCCATCCCCCACCATCGCCCTTACCTTCTCAGGCCAGGCGAGGAGTGACTGGGAGGGGAGGGTGAGGGGCAGGGCCAGCCAGTGGTGGGACCATCTGACGGGGAGCCGCAGCAGAGGGCCCAAAGAGCCACATGCGGCTCCGGAGCCGCAGGTTGCTGACCCCTGTGTTAGTGTAAATGCCTCAAAATAAATAAAGGCTGGGAAAAACCATTTTCCTTGTCCGTTGGCTATAGAATTATGAGGGATAAAATCTCTATTCAAAACAACCAGTTCGGTGAGTGTGCGCTTCACGCATGCGCAGCGTTCAAAATACAGCAATTTGAAGCTCAGCTGTTTACCTTCTAAGGCAGCCCCGGTAAGTAGAACAGCAGAGGTGCGGAAATCAGCTGTGCCACACAAATCAGCTGAGCCAGAAAGAAGGAAATATAGGACAGGATAGTGCAGGTGCGGGTGGGCAGAGCCAGCTGATCGTTGAAACTACTGGTTCAACCGAACCGGTCTGAACCGGCTGAATCCCACCCCTGAAAGTATACCTCTAAAGAAATCAGCTGTGCCGCACGAATCAGCTGAGCCAGAAAGAAGGAAATATAGGACAGGATAGGGCGGGTGTGGGTGGGCAGGGCCAGCTGATCGTCGGAACTACCGGTTCACTCGAACCGGTCCGAACCGGCTGAATCCCACCCCTGAATGTATACCTCTAAAGACAGGGGTGTCCAACCTTGGCAACTTTCGGACCAGTGAACTTCAACTGCAGGCTGGGGAATTCTGGGAGTTGAAGTCCACAAGTCTTAGTGTTGCCAAGGTTGAATACCCTGCTCTAATACAGGTTGAAGAACCTGCATTGGTTAAAATGTGTCCTCTTCTTTTGGAGGAAAACCTTAAAAAGAAGATGAGACAGTTCTTGGGAGAAAGAATTCTTTGGAAAGGCATCACTAAGGCACCCGGAATTAGGGTAGTCCTCAACTTACAACCATCACTGAACCTGCCAATTATTGTCATAAGTCGTGACAGTTGTAAAGTGGATCATTAACAGGTGGCCAACCTGTATTTACGCTTTTGTGGTGGTTATTAAGCAAACACAGTGGTCGTTAAGCAAAACCTATTGTTTGCTATGGGGCGCTTTTGCCGGAAGTAAAAAGTAAACCCTGGTTTGGGGGGGGAGGGGAATGTCGTAAACTGGTCATGTGACCATAGGATGCTGCAAATAGCCATAAATGTGGGTCACATGCCAAGGGTCTGAAATGTGATCACATGATCACGGAGTGGGGGTGTTATCCTTCAGAACTTTGGAACCAGTTCATAAGTATCTTTTTGGGGGGTTCATTCTAAGTTTGAACATTCGCTAGTAAGAGGACTACCTGTATAAAATATAAGATAGGCGTACTGATCAAAACTCCTTATTGCAATCCAATTTATTTATATCTCTCAGCATCTATGGAGCTGTCCGAAACTTTCCAAAGCAATAATTTAAGTTGAACGCTTAAGCAGCTAACATACAAATGAGTCAGACTTTCATATAGAAGAAAGAAAGAAGTAAAAAAAGAAAGTAAACATTTTTATTTGTGCGCACAACTGGTCTTACACCTCAACCCAGTGGCATCTATTAAGTGCTGCACAACAAAACCCCACTCACATCCCTGGGAATTGCAGATAGCTGTTAAAGATCATGTGTACACATATCCAAGATGATTAACATACAAGAGGCAGTTTTAGTCCATATATTCCGCCCATATGCGGCAGGTGACACATAGCTGACATACCAAAATGAGATTTGCATACCACAGTTTAATTAACTATGATACAGAGCCTGTATTTGGTGGGCTTTCTGCAACATACTGAGTTGCAGAAATTTCATCCGTTTTTCCGCCTGTGGATCCATATGTGGATCCATATGTTCAGGGGGTATTATGACGATGCAGTTCTCTCACTAATAGTGGAACAGAATTTGACCATTGAATGGTTTATTGGAAGCAAAAATAATTGAAACTGGTGGATAGTGATATTCATGGCATAAAAAAAGAGGACTGCCTGTGTTTTGTCTATTGCAGGGATGTCAAAACTCAAGGCCTGCGGGCTGAATCAGGTCCCTGGGGTGCTTAGATCTAGCCTGCGGGGCCGCCCTGGAAACAGCGAAGGACTGGCCGGCAGTGCCTCTGCCAGCAGAAACGGAGTTCGGGAGGGCTGCCTGTGGCCCTCCCGAGCGCTGTTTTTACTGGCAGAGGGTTGCAGAAAGCGATCGTAGCTGTTGTGGCTCCGTTGCCTGAGCCTGGGCTATCGACAGATGCAGACTCTGAAAGCGAAGGAGAGGAGTTGTCAAGGCCTCCCTCTCCAGGACCCTCCTCTCTGGCAATGCCTCTGGAGGACACTGAAGGCCAAGAGATAGGCCCAGAGCCAAGCATGTCCCCGCAGCCACAGGTGGACAGCGACGAAGGAGATAAGTGCTGGCTGGATCCTTGAGAGCGGTGCAGGGAGAAGTGTGCGCAGCAGAGGGGAAGGCGTGCCAGAGATTAGCTGAGTCACTGGACCACACCCCACAGGGTATAAATGTGGGTGTGGTGGCCGGCTCAGTTTGTGACGAGCAAAAACTAGAAATAATCCATGATCTCTGCGTTACTGGACTTCTGCCTGCCTTGTCGGACTGCATTTGGACTAATCCTTGTATTGCTGAAACTTTGCCTGCTTTATCGGAATGCTTGCAGTCTAATCTTTGTTTTGTGTGAGTAAAGTCTGAATTGGCAGCTAGCCACTGGGTTGCTGCCAGCTTTATCTTCAAAGACTTTGTCGTGTGGCTTATTAACTCCGGGCCATCTGTGGGGGTGCATGTGTGGGATGGGGACAGAACAGTAGCCCAAAATGGAGCTCGGGAGGGCCATGTGCAGCGCTCACAAGCTCTGTTTTTGCTGGCAGACTGCTTGTACCACCAGAGGTGCCTCCGATACGAGTGACGTCGAGCTGGCTGCATCCATCCTGGCCATGCCCCCCCCTCCCCGGAGGTCAAACACAAACCAGATGCGGCCCACAATGAAATCGACACCCCTGGTCCAGGTGTGAAATTTTAAAAATTCCCCTACCGGTTCTGTGGGCGTGGATTGTTGGGGGAGGTCATGTGACTGGGTGGGCGTGGCCAACTCGACATCACTCACTCAACTCGAGGGGCTCCTCACCGGCCCCTTCCCTCCCAGCCACTGCTTGTCATGAATGGCAGGAAAATGGGGATGGGAATATTCCTGCCTACCATCCTTCCCTCAGTCTGTGTTGAGATTGAGGAATGGATGACAGGCAGGAAAATTCCCTTCCCTGTTTTCCTGCCTTTCACAAAAATGGCTCCATTCCAGCTGCTCTCCCCCCATCCGCCTCCCTCCTGGGGGCTACCTTCAAGGGACAGGCTGCAGCAGCTCCGTTCTGAATGGAGGGAGAAAAGTTAGCAGTCTCTCTGCTGCATTTAACATTGAATTCTGTGGAATATCGAGCGGAGGGAAGAGGTGAGCGGTGACCAGCTGGGCATGGGTGGGGCCAAGGAGGGGTAATTACTACCGGTTCAGTGAACTGATGCCCATAATCCCTAGTGATTCGCCCGAACCTGTCCGAACCGGTAGCATTTCACCCCTGCCCTGATCTATTGCCTATGTCTGCCATAAACTACGGTGTACTAATTACCACTGCGGCATCCACATAATCTCAAGCGACAAGGACATGGCTTGAGAGACTATCTGACAAGAATCATGTACAATTAACATTCATTCTAGGTCACCATATCTATTTCTAGACCATGGATTAGGGAATTAAGAGCAGAAACAACCCCATCGCCACTTTCATTTCGTTTCATTTATTTCCCTATTAATTTTTAGGTATCTATATCTACGAATGGAAGGGCTGGTGTTGACTCACTTTAATGCAATATGAGATGCAATTATCTTCGTAGTGCTTACAGCATCTGTGCCTGGGACCATTTTTGCATCTGAAAAAAGCAAACAAAACAACGTTGACTCGCTAGATTTCGCCTGCATTCCACAGCTACGTGTTCCATTTTCTCCAACGCATACAAAGTCTCCTCCTTATCAGTACTTCATTCTTTGTACTTATCAAGTTTTTTATTTATGGTGCCTAGATGTGGATACCTGTAAGAGTAAGTTTTGAAAACATGGCCTATTTTATACAATAAGGGCAAAAGCTTTGTTCTAGAGCCCACAATGGGATATCGCAAAGAAACCCATTAATAGGACAGAAAACAAACAAGATACTTTGTCCCAGTTCTCCAGGAGCTGGCATTAAAAACAATGAGAGGGCCCTTGGTGCTCTCTGAGCTTGCCTGTTTTCTCGCAGGCATTTCATTACCCAAACTAGGTAACATCATCAGGGCTCGTCAGTTGTATCAAGTTTTACCTTTATTGCCACAATTGTTAAGCGGAATCACTGCCGATGTTTAAAGTGAATCGCAGACTTCTTAAGGGGAATCTGCTTTTCCCCCAATGACTTTGTGAACTTCGAAACGGATCAGAAGCCTGCAACTCTCATAAATGCATGCCCGTTGCCAAGCATCTGAATTTTGATCACATGGCTGTTAAGGATGCTGCGATGGTCAAAAGTGTGAGGACCTATTGTTAAGTCACTTTTTTTCACTGCCACCGTAACTTCGAATGACTTATTTGTCCTTACCGTGTTTCCCCAAAAATAAGACCCTGTCTTATATTTTTTTGAACCCCAAAATAAGCGCTTGGCCTCATTTTCGGGGAGGTCTTATTATTTTGGGGCGCATGGAGCAAGATGGGGCTCCTCTTGCCTTCTTCACCTGATTTCCAGCTCTGTCTCCCTAACCCTAACCAGAGGAAATGGCGGGGGCCGGTGGTGTATGAGTTTAAATATTTTCGGGGAGGGCTTATTTTCAGGGGGGGCTTATTTTAGCACATGCACTCAAAAGCCTGATTGGGTTTATGATCAGGAGATGTCTTATTTTGGGGGAAAAAGGGTATTTACTTACTTGTTTACTTTCTAATTATACTTTTGGATAGTAATCCGGTGTCAGAAAACTAGGCTTTCAGCCTTATTACTAATTCCAACATCAATCCCGTCTGCATCTTTTTTTAAAAAAAATAGCAGTGCAAGAATGTATGAATATGTATGTGTTCATTTTGTCACAGAAAAATAGCCTGGGACTTCCTCCCATGCCTTCACTTGGTTGTGAACAACATAATCATCCCAGACAGGGGGAAAAAAATGTCAGTTGATATCTTACAGCTGCACCAGGGGTGAAATGCTACCGGTTCAGACTGGTTCAGGTGAACCGGCAGTAATAAAAGCTACCGGTTCAGACAAACTGGTAGTTAAAAAATGCTACCGGTTCGGACGAACCGGTATTTCCAACAATCAGCTGTGACGCACAATTTATATTCACTAGAAAGCAGAAAATCCTGCTTTCTAGTGAATCTAAATCACGCGGCACAACTGTTCTCCCTCCCCTCTCTGTTCTACTTACCTTCTTAAGCCTCCTTTTTCAGTGCTGCGCGGTAACGCCTGCGGTGTGCATGCACGTGAAGTGTGCATTTGGCGTGCACCGCACATGTGCACACACAGAAAATTGGTAGCACACCTCAGAGGATTTCACCACTGAGTTGCACCCTAAAGACCATGTAACCCCAATCCTCATTTCTAGGTTAATTTTATGGAATAAAATTGCGATCTGCAGGTAGCCAGGAATGCATTTGGCAGTGTTATATACACTGAAGAAATATCACAGAAAAAAGGGCCCAAAGTTAGTTGGGAGACTGTATGTTATTGCCTTTCCCGATCCAGCAGAGAATCTGTAAAGCCTGCCAAATTTATATTCTTCCAAGCTCACAAGACGTCGCTTTCCATGAGCATCTATAACAGTGCAAATTCTGTCAATGTGGGATTCCAGCAGTTTTATGACAGAAAACTGGCAGAGGAATTGAAAATGATAAATACCTCAGGGAGGGCTGTCCAGTTGTTTAACATTATCAGCTGGAATTACAAGGAAATCAATTTGATCCTGGTTCTAGAAATTAAAATTTTCTTGTGCTCAAATATTTGCCGTTGGAGCACAAAACAACATTACTCAATCTTCACACTGTGCCAATTTTTTTTTTTGTAAGCTTTGAATTATGTGCTGCAAAAAGTGTATATTAGTCATAAATCATCCATCAGGTCAGTTTGTGTAGCAAAAAAATGGTAATGAGGACATGATCGAGTTACAGACATTTAGACTTAGCTATATCTGAAAGGAAACACATGGGAGAGAAATATGATAAAAGGATTAAGATTAAGAACTCAATGATTTTTTGGGGGACATGTGCAAATGGGACATTAGAAATACCAAAGGAGGTTTATTCACCTTGTTTGCTGAATGTTCAAGACTCTTTTTTTAAAGTCCTGCGGTGATGGAACTGATGGAGCTACTGACTGGGTGCTGATAGCTTTTTGTTATGCATTGGGTGATTAGCTGTTGAATAAAGTTTTGCGGTGGCTCAGTGGCTAAGACGCTGAGCTTGCAGATTGAAAGGTCAGCAGTCCGGTGGTTCAAATCCCTAAGTGCCGTGTAATGGGATGAGTTCCCATTACTTGTCCCAGCTTCTGTCAACCTAACAGTTCAAAAGCACGTAAAAAATGCAAGTAGAAAAAATAGGGACCACCTTTGGTGGGAAGATAACAGCGTTCCGTGCGCCTTTGGCATTTAGTCATGCCGGTCACATGACCACGGAGACGTCTTCAGACAGTGCTGGCTCTTCGGCTTTGAAACAGAGACGAGCACCGCCCCCTAGAGTCGAGAACGACTAGCACATATTTGCGAGGGGAACCTTTACCTTTCATCTGGATTGATCCAAACATGCACCAAATTGAGGTCTTCAGTCTATGCCTGCTAAAAATGGAACACTGGGTCTTTATTTCTGGAATTTCACAGGCTGGTTCACTCAAGGAAATAATACCATGAAAAAATTTTAGATTAGTCATAGGGCGAGCACCAGGAATCTTGAGAATTCAGACAGTAAAAATTCAGTAAAGAGAATTCAGTAAATATGTATCTGATGTATTTTCTCTTCTGCTCCGGAAACCATTAGACATTATTACCGGCTGGTCCTCCATTTTACTTTAGAGTCATTCTACTTCAGCTCCTCCATTCTAATCCGGAGCGCAGGTTTTATTTAATCCTGCTTTTATTATTTGTATATGTAACTTATGGTGGCAAACATACCTAATACAGGTAGTGCTCGACTTAGTGACCATTCGAAGTTACAACAGCACTGGAAAAAGTGACTTATGAGTCATGACCATTTTTCACACTACATAACCATTGCAGCATCTCCATGGTTACGTGATCAAAATTCGGATGGTTGGCAACTGGCATGGATTTATGATGGTTGCAGTGGGCTTTATATGGCCACCTTTTGTGACCTTCTGGCAAGCAAAAATCAATGAGGAAGCCAGATTCACTTAACAACCATGTTACTAACTTAACAACTGCAGTTTTTCATTTAACAATTGTGGCAAGGAAGGTCGTGAAATGGAACAAAAGTCACTTAAGAATTGTCTTGCTTACCAATAGAAAATTGGAACTCAAATGTGGAGGATTTATACATAAACTGAGGATTATCTGTACTCCTTCCTCTTCCTATTTTCCCCACAACAATAACCTTGTGAGGTGAGTGGGACTGAGAAAGAGTAACTGCCCAAAGTCATTCGGCTATAATTTCATGTATAAGGCAGGAGTAGAACTCACACTTTCCTGGTTGCTGGTGCCTTAAACCACGACTAGACCAAGTTGGCCCTCAATTTATAGAAGACCAATTGGGTCCTTTAATTGAAAAAAACCTGACCTAAAATCTAACTTCTCCATCTAAAGCCAAAATAGATGTGAAATAAACATGAATAAATGAAAACATGTAAGTATGCATAGAAAGTGTTCCTTGTGGTGGCGCAGCCGTTAGAATGTAGTATTGCAGGCTGACTTTGCTCACTGCCAGCAGTTCGATCCTGACCGGCTCAAGATTGACTTAGCCTTCCATCCTTCTGAGGTCAGTAAAATGAGGACCCAGATTATTAGTGACAACATGCTGACATTGCCATCACTCTGCTAAACAAAAAATTCCCTCAACACTGTCGAACTAGTTACTAAGTCTGCATTGCTATTAATCTTCTCATCGTTCCTATCACCCATCTCCTCCCACTTTTGACTGTATGACTGCAGCCTTGTTGCTGGTATCCTTAAGATTCATATTGACTGTTTCCCTACAACTATCATTAAGTGTTGTACCTTATGATTCTTGACGAATGTATCTTTTCTTTTATGTACTCCAAGAGCGAATGCACCTAGACAAATTCTTTGTATGTCCAATCACACTTGGCCAATAAAGAATTCTATTCTAATTCTATTCTATTGTAAACCGCTCAGACAGTGCTATAAAGCACTGTGAAGCAGTACATAAGTCTAAGTGCTACTGCTATATAATGGAAGCAGAGTGAGGTGTTTAAACATCTCAGATAATCAGCACAAATATTGGGGTCAATATAAAAAAAGAAGAGGCAGTGCAATGTTACCATTGTGCAAGATTACGTTCAGATGAAAACAGGCATTACAATACTCACATATTGTCCACGATTTTTTTTGTCGCCGCAATAAAATTCATTTGTTGCGTTAGATCTTCGCAGTGTTTTATTTTGATTTCTTTCTTTACAAAAGCTCCTTCCGGTACATAAGAATGGGTGGGAATTTCTTCTTTCCCTACAATGAATCTGATCAGAAAACAGAACACATTTATTAGCTACCTGAGCTCCACGATTCCTTTTATAATGTACATTGCAACTGCTTCCGATTATATTATAAGGTGAGATAGATATTTACAGTTTTAAACTTTTATAGGATTTTTTTAAACGTATTAGCTTGTTGCTTGACTTGTTAACTTTACATACGCATGAAACGATGTGCTATTTTTCAAAAACAGGAAGCCCTGCTTATTATAAGAGTTAATATTCTATTGTAAATGTATTAGTGATGATGACAGGACAGTCTGGAAAGTTAAAAAAAAGCATGTAATGTACTTTTTGCTCCATAAGATACACCTGACCATAAGACGCACTCCCGTTTTTGGCCTCCGCGCACTGTTTTCAGCCTCCATGTGTCCCGTTTTCTGCCTCCGCACACCCTGTTTTTGGCCTTCATGCGACCTGTTTTCGGCCTCCTTCGCAGAGCAAGCGGAGGCCGAAAACGGGGCATGTGGAGGCCAAAAACGGGAACTGTGAAGGCCGAAAATGAGGCACACAGAGGCCAAAAACGGGGCATGTGGAGGCCAAAAACGGCTGAAGGGTGGGGGTCTGTGGGTGGGCGGGGCTTTGGCAATATTCGCTCCATAAGACACACAGACATTTTTGGGAGACAAAAAAGTGTGTCTTATGGAGCGAAAAATACGGTACTTCTCTATATATGAAACAGACACAAGTACTAATATCTGTTTTTAAATCACATTTCTGTGAAGTCATAACAACTTTATATATTGTGGCCGTCCAATACAGAAATGAGATAACCAAGAGAAAGTGAATTGCCAGAACATAATGCAGGTAGTCCTTGACTTATGGCCGGTTGCTTTAGTGACTATTCAAACTTAGCGACCTCTCAAGGGCTGCTTATGAGCCGGATTCAAAGTTCTGATGCTCCCGCCACTATGGTCACGTGATCGCATTTTGGGCGCTTGGCAATCACGTGCATTTATGGCTGTTCGCAGCATCCCCAGTCACATCACCGATCTATGACACCTATTGTCAGAAACTGATGTTTACTTCTGGTTTCTGTCAAAAAAAACCCCGCCCATTGCAGAGAACAGATTTGCTTAATGACATGGCGTTTGTGTAATGAACGCAGAGATTCAAAAAGGTTGTAAACTCAGACAGTCACATCGTGACCGCCTTAACGACTGGCACAGTTTACGATTGTCATTTCAGGCTCAATAATGTCGTAAGTCAAGGACTACCTGTAATGAAATTCTAGTCTTGTAGCCCTCCACCACGAAATATTTGTCTGTCAAATTTAGATGCTGCACATCTCTCTCTCTCTCTCCAAAAAAAACAAAAACAAAAAACAAAAAAACCCCCAAACCATCAGTAAAAATGAATCCCCAAAAGATATATCCCTAGTCCTTTGAAAATTTAGGAGAAGCCTCATCACCTTTGAGAAGAAACTTAAATACATGTGTCTTGCATACTATTTAATTTTTTCCCTGTTTCCCCATCCATAATCTTGTTTGAAGGCTCCACTTGTTCTCTAAGTGCAGTGACATAGATGCAATCTAAAAAGAACACAGCTGGAAAACTAAAGCTGAATTCATTTAATTCAAACCCAATTAGCATTATAGCAGTGGTTTGATGACATTCACACTGCAATTCAAAGACAAGTTTTACCAGGACTTTGGCTCTCCATTTCTGAATGGCCACCTTCTGCCGTATGGGTCGTGTTGTTGCTTGTGCATCACAGATTACATTTGCACAAACTTTCACTTGATCTGAGTTGGCCAGGCACGCTGCAAAGAAGAGACTTGTTTGGGTTCACTTACTTTAGTGCGGAGAATGTAAATCCTTTCAAACCGTCTTTGTTTCTGAAATAAAAATCACATATTTGGGGTATGAGTAACCAAGAACAACCTCACGATAGAGGCAATTTCGAACACTGCAGCCTTTACAGCTTATTTCTCGCAGACTTCCAGTCAGTCAGTTTAGGATAATATGTCTGCTGTTACTGGGGTTTTATGATAGGTTATAGCTTTTCAAGAACACATGTAATGTAAACAGGAGGACGAAAAAAACAAAACATCCCAAATGACATTAGCAGCTTCAGCAAGTTTTAGCCAAAGCCCAGCTTTGGAAAAAGTTGTTTTGGTTTCTCATTTCAACATTTGCCAAAGAGTTCCAACGTTCTGCCAGCAGGTGTCTCTAATCGGCAGCAATTCATCTTAAGACTGCATCAAACTAATAAATCCAATGTTTTAGACAGACTGCAGAAGGACATTTACAGAAGGCAGATTTTTTTTTTTTTGAGATGTTTAACACATTAGTATATTAGCCACCAATTATGAGAGCTGGAAATATGCTTCAAATACAGATTTCCTCTTTAAAGGCCACTTTTCCTGAGAGACAAAGGGTAATTCAATTTTCTATCGAATAAATTTTGGAGGTAGGCTGAGCCAACAGTTTAAAAGGGAACTTTCAAGAGCATTAAAAATATTGTTTATATACAGTACGTGAGTGTTCTCCTAAAAGAAAGGCCCGTAACTCACCCTCAGTAATCATCCTGACAATTACCAAGATAAGAATACAAATGTAAATACAAATCAGAATAACAGAACAGAGTTGGAAGGGACCTTGGAGGTCTTCTAGTCCAACCCCCTGCTTAGGCAGGAAACCCTACTCCCCTTCAGAAAAATGGTTATCCAACCTCTTCTTAAAAATCTCCAGTGATGGAGCACCCACAGCTTCTGAAGGCAAGCCCTTCCACTCATTAATTGTTCTCACCGTCAGGACATTTCTCCTTATTTCTAGATCCTTGTCCTGCCTTCTGGTGCTTTGGAGAATAGCAAATAGCTGCCTCTTCTTTGTGGCAGCCCCTTAGATATTGGAACAATGCTATCATGTCACCCCTAGTTCTCCTTTTCATTGAAAAACCAATTCCTGCAACTCTTCTTATGTTTTAGCCTCCAGTCCCCTAATTATCTTTGTTGCTCTTCTCTGAACTCTTTCCAGAGTCTCAACATTATTTTTTTATTGTGGCGATCAAAACTGGATGCAATATTCCAAATGGGATCTTACTTTATATGCCGGAGAGGGGCGGCATATAAATTTGATAAATAATAAATAATAATAATAATAATAAAGAAGTACTAATACCTCACGTGATCTCAATTCTATCCCTCTGTTAACTGCAACCTAGGATTGATTGCATTGGCATTTTTGGTGGCTGCAACAACTGCTGGCTCATATTTAAGTGATTGTCCAATAGAACTCTCTCGCAGTTACTGCTATTGAGTCACGTACCATCTCTATTCTACACCTGTGCATTTGGCTTTTCTGGGCTAAGTGTCTTTGAATGCCTAAACCCGTGATGGCAAACCTATGGCACGCGTGCCATCACCCCAGTTGAGCTCCGCCACACATGCACCTCCCGCCAGACAGCTGGTTTTCGGCTCTGTGCTGCGCATGTGGGGGGACATGTGCGGGGGGGGAGCTCGAGCATGCGTGTGGATGAGGCAAGTCCATGTGCGAGGGGGCAGGGAGCATGCATGGGGGCACATGCGCATGTGTGGGGGCAGGCCACATGCACAAGGGTTGTGCGCACATTGCATTTTGGGAGTGCTTTGGGCACACGATCCAGAAAAGGTTAGCCAACATTGGCCTAAACCAGTGATGGTTAACCTTTTTGCTATTGCGTGCCAGGAGGGGAAGGGTGTCGCGCGCATGCCCACACCCATAATTCTATGCACCTTGCCCCCGCACATGCGCGTGTGACACCACCACCACCCTGCTTCTGGCATGTGATGGCACAGTAGGCCCGTTTTTTGCTCTCCCCAGACTCCAGGGCCTTTCTAGGAATCTGGGGAGGGCGAAAACAGCCTTCCCCACCCCCCTGGAGGCCCTCCGGAGGCCGAAAACCGCCTGTTTGCCAGCTTCCAGTCCCACCGGAGCTGAGCTCGTGTGCCCACCAATATGGCTACGCGTGCCATAGGTTTGCCATCACGGGCCTAAACCATTGAATTTCATTTTGGAAACCGAGGGAGCGCCAGTGACTTAAAGTTTACTTGAATATGTTCATGCAGTGTGCAGTTTTTGGCCCTTCTTGTGGGATTTGTCTGCTAGCAGCATGAATAATCAGATAGGGACCACCATCTGCCCCCTTGTGTAATATTAACAGCAGTTTTCATAATTAATTAAATAAGTCTTTTATGTGACAAACATTAAAATCTGGAAAGGAATTTCTAAACAAAAAGCCATCTTGGGCCTCTGTGTACAAAAAGGATGCTAATTTATTATTATATACACATATATAATGTATAATATAAACACAAGGTCTCGAAAAACAAACACAACAGTATGAAGGGAACAAAGAAACTTCTGTCTAAAATGAAAGGGATCTAACTTTCCTTATGAATGAGGGGGGAAAATGATTATGTATTCCAGATTGTTCTCATTTTTAAAACAGATTGGCACTGGTTCCAGTCATGTACCCTCTAAAATAAACTGCTAGCAATCTTAATGGCTGTCTGCTTCTGGAATATCCTTCTAAACTTGAATCCAGCTGTGATACGCAGCGAGACACATTTCTGCACAAACCAGTTTATATGGTTTGAGATGGGAACTTGATGTTGCTGAATTTCAATTCCAATTTCATTTCATTGGCCATGATGGCTGGGGACGTTAGGAGCTGTGGTTCAACTGCTGAGCCACAGATAGCTTGTGGAGTACAGTACTGTAAGGGGAATACCCTTTAAACTTTAAACCCAGATGTTGCTTAATTAAGACTTAGGTTTCTTCCGCAGGCATGTTACAATGTGAGAAACGTGGGGAGAATAAACCTGTCAAAAGGTTTTTGCTCTGATAATGTCAGTGAGCGTCAAAAAAAGATCAACCCTGGAGGTATTTTTATTCTGTATCTCTCAAACCAAGACACTTTGAATTTGTAGTCCTATTAAGAGATTAGGAATACCTAAGAATAGACTAAATTCTTTCCAAGGACAGTGGAATTGAAAGCAAAGTTCGTTACATATACTGTAGAAGCAGGGGTGGGCTTCAAAAATTTTAGCAAGGAGTTCTCTGCCCGGTTGCTGGGTGGGCGTGGCTATGGTGGGCGTGGCCTAGTTAGCCTCCTCACCACAGCGAGCAGGGGGCGTTTTTGCCCTCCCTGGGCTCCGGAGGCTTTTCTTGAGCTTCCGGGAGGGCAAAAACAGCCTCCCCAGGCTCCAGAGGCCGGAAAAGGGCCTTCCTGAACTTCCGGTAGGCCCATTTTTCGCCCTCCTCCGCCTTCGCATGCACCCTGCACTTACCTGTATCCAAAATGGGCCATGTGGGGACTCCTGGGAGGGGTGGTATGGGCAGGGCCAGGCAGGAGTGGGATTTGGGGGTTCTTTGAACTGCACTAGAAGTTCTTCCCGAATCCCTGCGAACTCCCAGCAGCCCACCCCTATGTAGAAGCCCCGAGCAAGTAATAATTTATCAGGCTATAATTTGCTGTTAAACCCATCACCATTTTCCATTTCCCAAAGAGCCTGTCAAGTTGTTTTGAGGCTGCTGACACCCCCTCCCAGATCTTCTCCAACCTAGCATTTTCCAGGTTGGGAATTGCTCTTCCACCCCATCTGGGAAACTCATTGCTGCTTAGTTTATTTTAAGTGTAGAACCAAGACGAAAAGTTTCACGCCACAGTCAATCACTAGGTTAACAAACATTGCTTTGTCTGTAACTGCCTATAGATAAACGCCTTTATATTTCAAGGAATTCCCAACAGCTGGAAAAATTAAGACTGAAGCTGAAATCATGGCTTAGCCTTGGAAATGCTTTGAATCAGCAAACTAACAATTCTGGCTTGCTAAATCAACAAAGAAATCTCTACCTTAAGGGGATCCACTCATTTTTTTAAAATCCTGCCCAAACCCATTTTCTTCTTACTGAAAGTCATGCAGTCATATCTTCGAGCAATTAAGAGAAGTTTGAATTAATTTGCCAGCAGTTTCTTCGCAAACATGAAGGTGGAAAATTGTGGAAAAGGCAGAATGGTTCATGTGCAGCACACTCTTTTAAAAAAATGAATCTGAAATTGGCTTATGAACCACATACAGGTATAGTAAAGGTAAAGCCAAAGGTTCCCCTTGCACATATGTGCTAGTCGTTCCTGACTCTAGGGGGTGGTGCTCAATTCCGTTTCAAAGCCGAAGAACCAGCGCTGTCCAAAGATGTGTCCATGGTCATATGGCTGGCATGACTAAACACCAAAAGCACACGGAACGCTGTTACCTTCCCATCAAAGGTGATCCCTATTTTTCTACTTGCATTTTTTATGTGCTTTCAAACTGCTAGGTTGGCAGAAGCTGGGACAAGTAACGGGAGCTCACCCCGTTACACGGCACTAGGGATTCGAACCGCTGAACTGCCGACCTTTCGATCGACAAGCTCAGCGTCTTAGCCACTGAGCCACTGCATCCCCTCTAGAAACCCTGTAGAAACCTGCCAAATAGGCAACATACATTAGAATCATATGGAGAGAAAGAAGTAACATATGACTGTTTTTGACACTTACGACCATTGGGAGCACCCCCATGAACATATAATCAAAAATCAGACAGTTGACAACTGGCTCATATTTATGACGGTTGAATTGTCCCAGGGTCACATGATCAATGATTTGAAACCTTCTGATAAGCAAAGTCAACGGGGAAGCCAGATTCACTTAGCAACTGCGTTACTAACTTCACAATTGTGGGTGATTCTCTTAACAACTGAGGCAAGGAAAGCACAAAATGGAGCAAAACCCACTTAACAGGTGCCTCACTTAGCAACTGAAACTTTGGGTTCAATTGTTCTGAACTTAAGTCAGGACTACCTGTAAATAAAATTTACGATTTTCATCCTAGAATGATTTAAGAGATATTTCTAAAGCAGCTCCAGTCCCTTGCTTTTCTTTTCATTGATCCTGGCTGTATCGCCAATGACCGTGAT